CATGTTCCTGAAGCACAACCTTCACAAGCCCAATGCCATGAGCTGGATCGATGCCGAACCGATCCTTTGGAGGTACTGGTACCAACAACCTACCTCCCCAGCCCCTCCCACAGACATACGGGAGCTCCTCCAAAAAGCTGACGCATGGATGAGGGGAGAGGAGCCTTTGCAACCACCGACACCAGGCAGCCAGTCAGACACCTCACAAGCCACCACAGCCAGAGCCGCAGCCGCCACCCAAGGGGGTGGACCAACCCAAGGCACCAAACAACACACGGCAGCCGAGCAGCAATACCAGGAAAGGCTTCAGCAGGAGGCACACGCACAACAACCACAGGGTCCTCCCCAGCAAGCCACGCCACCGGCAGCGACAGCCACAGCCTCTGCCATAGCCACAGCCACGGCCACAGCCGCCACCTTCGACATACCGGCCACCACCATCCACCCTCCCAACACGGGAGACACATCGACACAGCCAGGTGGCACAAAGCAAGACACAGAAGCCCAGCGCCTACACGAGGAGCGACAGCAGAGGGACCATGGCACAACAACAGGCGGCAGCCCGGCACCCCCACACACACAACAGACCGACCAACAAGCAGCCGAGGCAGGGCACCCCGAACAGCAGCTCCCGCAACAACATCCACCACCACAGAGTGAGCAACCCACGGCCAACAACAACAACGGCGACCCTCAAGCACCACAGCCACAACTGCAACCACAGGCCCAACCACAGACACAACAACCACTGCAGCCCGACGCAGCAGCAGCGACTGCAGGTGAGGAAGACAGCAGCGAACACCCACCTACCTACGATGTCACCTGGACAGAGGGGCACCAAACCTACTTGCTCCGCCGACCCACTGACCAGTCCTGGCTCCCGGACACCTTGCCTCCGGCCCTCCCAGTGGGGCCAATTGTGGCCAACCTGGCCCATGCTGAAGCGGCCGGCATATGGCTCATGGGGTCAGTCCGGCACATGGTGGCTGAAAACCCACCAGACATCCCGAGGCACACAGGCGCACAAATAGCCGTGACACAAGCCGCACCCACGATGGACCAATTCATCGGGCTAGGGACGGCGTTTTTCCTGCGCCCGCTGGGAAGACTGCGCCGCAGGGAGCCTGAGGCCTGGCATGTACGGGTGGTGGACGCTCCAAGGGCCGTGAGCCAGGGAGCACTCAGGTACCAGAAGGGGGAGCATTTACTCCTTCTCTGGACCAGGCAGCAGTGGCAATGGCATCCATGGCGAGACGAGTACCTCCTCCGCTTTGGAGGATACTCCCTGGATTTGCCTACGCCCGCTGCCCAAAGCAGTACGGAAGGACAAACACAACAACCACAGGGTGAGGCACCAACCCCCACTGACCAGCACGGCGTCACCCACCAGCAGGAGCAAGCGCCTCAACCACAACCTGAACAAGTGCCCCGCGAGCCAGCACGCTCCAAAGCCCCACCACCGGGCGTACACCCTCCACAGGGGCCCGCACCCGGAGCACCAGCGGACACACAGCAGGACCCGGGAGACCTCAGCGAAACCTCCTGGCCCAGCAATGAACCCACAGACCATGTGGAACTGATGCAACGCAGAGCTCGGAGGTTCAGGGCACCAACCCTCACGGAAGCCACGGCAGCCATGGCAGAGGCGAGGAGATGCCTGCTTCGCCTCCTGGACTCATCCCACCCAGGGGAAATACAAGCATACGCACAACAAGCACTGGTGGCACTACAACCAGAGGAGGCACCCGCAGAACAAGCACCGGCCTGCAGCAGCCAGCAACCACCACAGCCAGCGCTCAACACCAACACAAGCCCACCACCACCGAACCCACACCACATCGCGGCCCACCTGCTGCAACTACAACTTGACCTGCTCGCAGCGGTCGAGGCGACCGGAAGCCACACAGCAACAGCAGACATAGTCCACGACTTGAGGGAGGTGGACCGCCTTCTGAGGGAGGGCACACAGCGCTTCCACTCGCACAGAAGAGCGAGGAACTGGGGAGCAGTACACCGAGGCGAAGAGTACGCGGAAAGGGCAGAAGAGCTGCTCAACAACGTGCTCCAGGCCACGGAAGGACACCAGCAAGTGCCCGACCACTTCCGAGACAGCTTGGACAGGGTGGTACACCTCTGCCAGGAAGCGTCGGAGGCACACGGCGAAGCCTGGGGAGAGCCAGGGGAAGAACAACTGAACCTGGACCGAGCCGCGGAGGTGACAGCTCCCTTGCCCAAAAAGGCGAGACTCAGTGGAGAACTACACCAAGCTGACGTGGTGGCACACGCAGGAGGGCAACCAAGCTCCCCAACCCTGGGGGACCAGAGGCCAGAACTGCCGTTACAAGCGCTCTACATGCTGCGCCGCCTCCAACCCTTCCTACATGGACAAATGCACGACATGGTGGACTCGGCCATATGCGACCTGATGCAATGGTCGACACAGTACTTCGGGGCACCAGTGGAAGTGGTTCCAGACGAGAGCGACGACTCCACAGCCACAGCGGCCATGGAACCTCAACCTGAACCTGCCCCGGAAGCCGAACCTGGACTACCACTACAGCGAGCCCTACTACAAGAACACCAGGGACCCGAACAAGCACGAGGACCAGCCCCTGACGCCGATCCAGGACTACCTCGGCAACGAGACCGGGCACAAGACGACAAAGGGGCGGTCCAGGCAACGGGAGCACCCGCTCCGCTGACTGCTCCGAAGCCAGACGACGACAGTGCCGTGACACCGACGACGACGCACCGCGCACTACAGCTCGGATGGGAACCAGGCCGTGAAGCACCTCCTCTACCTGAACACACCGGACTCGAAGGATCCGTGGCACCAAGCAGGGGAGCACCAGCTTCGTCAACGACAGACGTGAACGACACCGCAGCCACCCAAGACGACGCCGAGTGTGCAACGGTGCCATGGCACGCACCGTCACCAGGTCAACCAAGCCTGGCAGAAGACGAGACCTTCCTGGGAACACCGGGAGCACCACCTGCACAACCCTGGGGGCACCCGCCAGAAGAAGAACTGAGCGAAGCCAGTAGAGCGAGCCACAGACGCCGGCGGCTGCTGGCGGCACTAGCCGACGACTGAGGTCCCTGCCCACCTGTGCACCCGTCCTTGGCTCTAATCAGTTACTTCTACCTAACCCTTTTCTTGCACAGGGGGAGCACACCTTCTGGCGGTCAAGTGCAGGTAGAGGCTTCAGGGTTGAGCGGAAGGTCGGAGGCAGTGCGGGATGAGGCTTCTGTTCGGGATAAGGCAGGGTTAGGCAGGTAGGTCGGGATCCACTGAAGTAGACGGGGAGCACCAGAGGTAGGAAGAGGGCACCAGCTGATGTTGTACCTGGCCGTATCATATGCTGTTTTCTACTTCGTGTAGCGTTACTGGTGCACTCAACAAACCTCACTGCCCAGACACTCCTTCTCACACCCAACGTGTCCGGCCCTCTAAAGTGTTCCACTTGTGTCTGCTGCAACTAGAGGGAGGGGCACCCGCTCGCTTGAGGCTTCAGGGTTGAGTGGCAGGTCGAAGGCAGTGCTGCGCAGGGATAAGGCTTCTGTTCGGGATAAGGCAGGGAACAGGTGGGGGTACAGGTCAAAGGCAGGGCACACGCTAAGCAGGGGCACCCGCGGCACGAACTCAGCCTAATCCTGCTGCTAACACACCTTTACTGTTGTTGCTAGTATTGTACTTGCTGTATTAGTGACGGGCGCCCCGAAACTGTTACACAGCAAAGTGGGGAACCCAAGTTGAGTACAAGCATTCTGCCCTGTTGTTGACCAGAGGGGGACCCACTTGCTACCCCGAACAACGGGGCACCAGTTCGTACAGCCGAGCCCTTCCACTCCAAATAGTGGATGGGGTAGCGCGCTCGCGCGGGGCGGGAGGACTGCTCCTGCCCTAGACCCCGAGCAAAGCAAAGCAAAGAGAGAGAGAGAAAGAGAGGGAACTAGAGGGAACGAGAGAGAGAGAGAGAGAGAGAGAGAGAGAGAGAGAGAGAGAGAGAGAGAGAGAGAGAGAGAGAGAGAGAGAGAGAGAGAGAGAGAGCCACAGAGTGAGAGAGAGAGCGAGAGAGACTTGCGTTGACTTGTCGATTGGCATGGCATGTTTGTTCTTGGCATGAGCTTGACCTTGCTTGCTTTGTCGTTGTCCTTACCCACGCAGAACATGCGAGACACCGTTGGCCGGGTGTCGGGACTGAAGTGCCATACGTTCCTGCTTCTGGCCAACCCACTTCGGTGGATGACAGCAGAGCACATGGGCTAATGCGTCTGCTGGGCAGGATCCTGTGCTCACCCGTTTCGACAATCCTCTCCCCCTGACCGTGCGGCCGGCGGTCACACAGGGGTGCATGTTGCCGAGCGGGGACAGCGCCAGTGCTCTGTCGCCCACTTGGGGTGGAAGGGCGAGGGCTGCACAGTGCCTTCAGACTGCAGGGGAGGCCGCAAGAGAGACAAAGAGAAGGAAAGAGAGAAAGAGAGAGAGAGAGAGAGAGAGAGCCACAGTGAGAGAGAGAGAGCGTGACACCGTTGGCGAGGTGTCGGGAGGGGAGGCTAGGAGAGAGACAGCAGGAGACAGAAGGACAGAACCAGGGAGAATTCCACAGAAACCTACTTGAAAAAAATTAACTACCTCAGGCCGCAAGAGAGACAAAGAGAGAGAAAGAGAGGGAAAGAGAGAGAGAGAGAGAGAGAAAGAGAGAGAGAGAGAGAGACACACAGAGTGAGAGAGAGAGCGTGACACGAGGGGAGGCCAGGAGAGGGACAGAAGGTCTGAGATACAGAGAGACAGAACCAGGGAGGATAATTCCACAGAAACCTGCTTGAAAAAATTAACTACCTAAAGCGATCTTTAGAAAGGCAACACAGGGAGCCCTGTAAGGTGGCTGTACTTAGGTTCGGACGAGTCCCCATCTTCAACTCCTATCATTTGCCTTGGGTTTGCAGATTCTCATATTGCTTGGGCTGGTCACGGTTTCAGACTTCATGGTGCACAGGATGCGGCGTGGCCGGATGCATCCAGACGCATCAAACCCAGTTCGAGGTTGCCCGGATACTCTTTTTGCTAATGCGTGAAGTGCGAATTCATGGACATTAAACTATTTGCGTATTACTCTTAGCATGTGGTGCGAGGGCTTCCCAGGCTTCTTCAATCATGATCGTGATGTGAGGGCTAAGATCCGACTTCTGACCTGGAGTTCAGAGAGCTTTCAGGCATGTGCAAGTATATATATATATATATATATATAGTAATAATTAGTACGCCGGTACTAGGGTACCGCAATTCCGCAAAAAAGAGTAGTGGCAGTATTGCAGGTTCATGACTCAGGGTCGAACCTCTTCTTTGAGGACAGTAATACAATACTAAATGATTAACCAATATCTCGGTTCTCAGGCGTAATTTGTATCTAGTCAAGGCAAGTCTGCAGTGGAGAGGCCTAAGATTCGCAGTTGCCCGTTGCCTAAAACCCAAAATCTTACAAGCCCTGAAGCCCAAGCCCGAAAGCCTCGAGCTTGCTTGAAGACAATAGCCCCAGTCCCAACGAGCTCTTTTAAACCTTAAAACCTAAAGCCCCAGGGAAACATGAGCTGTCTTACCGGATGAGGCCGTGACATGGACGGCCCTCATCGCCGGGTCTGGCCGGAGCTGTCCTCGGCGTCGCTTCCATCCCTATCATGGTTATCAGTAGTGTTCGTATTATCCTTGTTGTTGCGATGGTGGCTAAAATGGCGATACTGGTTTTCATTCTTTGTTGTTCATAAAATCGTGCGTATGTTCCTGCTGTTTTCTTGATATAAGTACTGTTGTTGTTATTGTTGTTTTCGTTCCTATTATATAATTGCTCTCATCGTTTTCACTATGCCTAGTAGTCTGGTTTTTACTTTTCGTTTTAGTATTTACGTTTATTATTGCTTGTATGGCTAATTAAGTTTATTAGTAACATTATTAGTATCTTTCTTTTAATAATACTATGATTAGCGATATTCTTATTCTAGTAATGCGAGTCTTGTTGTTATTCGCTTTATTTTGTTATCAACCCAGTGTTAACAATGTTTTTTTAAATGCTCATTGTTGTACATGCTGGTACGCCTCACGACAACAGGCATGACACCACCACCACCACCACCACCAGCAGCACCACCACCACCGCCGCCGTCGCCGCCGCCGGTGCTGCTGCTGTGATGTTTTACCAATGCCACTGCTGCTATGCCAAATAATCGCATTCGTAGCACGTGCACCAACAAGTCCAAGACTAATGCCACGGCAGAGACTTCCACCACCGTGACGGCTACTGGGTTGATGACTATGAATAGGCAGCTGCGACGGCGGCTGCAACAAAGGCAGAAGTTCCAAGACATACTTGCTGCTGGCGACTGTGGCAAAGCCGAGGCTAGCTTTGTGGTTGCAGGCCGCGAGACTCTTGTTGGAGCCTGAGTCGCCGCAAGGCGCTTGCGACAGTCGAGATCGTGCGCTTGCAGCCCAGGAAGAAGATGCGGCGCTGGAGTGTCCGTGCCAATGCGCTTCGCCCAGCCGAATGTATGTCGGGAAGCAAACAACCAGCCTAATCAGCTCCCCCTTTGCGGCACCGACATTGCAAGCCAGAGCTGAAGGCATGTCATAAGTTGCGTTGAAGGTGAGGGCAAATGAAGGCACCATCACAGAAGTAGCGGTCGCTGATCACATCGAGGCCTACTCTTACAGTGCGGCTGTGGCCGAATGCCGCGTCCCTAACCGACGAGAGAGCAGTTTTTTCGCAGAGTAAGAGGGAAGCCCAGGTGCCGTCTGCAATCTGATGGTGATGCTCGTGGTGATGGTGGCGATGATATGGCCGAGAGTAGCCAGCCCTGATATACATTCGAAGGCATGCAACCTTCTGCACGTGTCCATCCGCAAGCTCAAACAGGCATCCAATGTCTTGTCCATGATGCAAAACGACTGCAAGCGAAAGAGCATGTTCGTCCCGAATTGCCTTTGGTGGAGAAGCACACGAATGCCCGATGTCAGATCTTCCAAAATTCAATACATGTGGACCCTTGGCCTTCCAAGCCCTTAAACTTACAAGTATATCCCCCTCATGAGACCCCACGTATCAGCCACTAGAGACCTAATCTAGGCCCTAGGCCCTAATCCAAGCCTCTGATCTTAGATCCTGATCTACCCGAATCTACTCACCTAATTCAGACTCCAATTAAATAAAGGCCCTTAACGTGAATCCTAGATAGAACTCTATCGAGCTCTGTTTAGGATTTAGGTGAAGGGTCTGCAAAGTATAAAACCCTAAACCCTAAACCTTTACTCCGAACCATATGCCTCGCCTGGATTGTCCGAGTGTGAGCGCCGAAACCCTAAAGGTCGGCATCGGGACTGGCAGCTGGCTGTGGATTTGATCCGGGAGCTGCAGGCAGCCGCACAGGGTTCTTGTCTAGGATGCCCAGTAGTACCCTTATTCCTTTTTTGTAGTCCTAGGTTCCTTATAAAGTTACCCAATACCAAAAAGAGAGGCCTTTTTATTCTTAGTTTACTGGGTATCCTAGTTGTTAAGGAAACTAAGTTAGCATAATGGGTATGTTAAAGGGTTCCTTCAAGGGATCTATACAGGTTCCTTGAAGCGTTTAGAGTTTAAATTTAAGTTACCAGACTTCAGAGAGACCTCGCTCAAAGAAATACAAGAATACCCAGACTAAATCGTTTAACAAGAACCCAGCCCCAGGTTTGGCGTTCGCGATGGCTTTCGGGTTTAAGCAACGACCATTTATATAGGGTTTGGCTTTTTTGGGACGCAGGTCTTTAGGGGTTTTGTAGCCATTAAACCCAAAACCTAACAAGCCCTACAGGCGAATCTAGGGTTTAGGGTTTATAGGGTTCAGATTTTACGGGCTACTTGTTGATCCAATAGCCCGGTGTTTTTTCAGGTCAGGCTCTTTACGTCGGGGCTCCTAGTCTGCTTTGTTGTAGGTTAGGCCTACAGGTGGGGATTCTGGGCTGACGGCCAGGTGAATTACATTGAACTACTTCGCTCATCATCCAGCCCCTGCTATGACGAGCACATGGGGCCCCAACTCATCAAGCCCCTCCATTGCAAAGGACGAAGCAGCTGACCCATCAGCTAGAGTCAGCTAGAGGTGCAGCACCTCCTCCTCTCCGAAACCGCGGCCCTTACATGCATATCTGCCTGCGAGGCCGGGTGAAGGAGCGGGGCGAATCTAACAGTCTTGCCTCTAGCCATTTCTCAGGGCCGCAGGGTCTGTCGGGCCCTCGTCCATCGATCTGAATCTGTTGTCTCATAACCCTAAACCCTAAACGCCCGGGGTGTGTTCCTCGGCGCTCATCGCCAGCTCTTCTGTTCACTTTGCCGCTGAGGAAGAAGGTGTTAAACTGAGATAAGAAATGCAAAATTCTGTCCGCTACTACAGCAGGGGAGGGATAACTGTCTTCGAAGGCTTCTTTCTCTGAGCCCTAAACCCTAAGCTTTATCTTGCATGCCGGAGCGCCCTTACCGCAAGCAACATGTAAGACCAAATTGTCCAATCTCGAACGGTTTTTGTTGGCCTGCAGCCGCTTGGTCGTACCTTTGTCAACTAATCGGAATAACTCTGGCCCGACGCGAGAGCATACTGAGCGCCGCCATGAATCTGGAATCGGAGCCTAAACCCTAAACCCTACGTACAGTAAACCCCATAAAGTTGGAAACCGTGGTTTCCAACTTTTTGGCTTCTACTGTAGGTTAATCGCAACCACAATCTCTCTCGTTGTTCTCCCGCCATCCCCAAGCCCTCCAAGTCGTGAGGCAGAGGGCGGCTGGCCCTCCGCACTTTCGCTTGCGGTGGGTCAACAGTGGTGTGCTCAAAGCTCACAGATTCAAGATGTATTATATACACTATATATATATATAAATACTGTATAGGCATATTGTGTTACATACCTTGATAATATGTAATATAGGACTTATCATGAGAGTTTGTTACCGATGCCGCAATTTTGGGGACACTCCGGCTCCTATCGCACGGAGCAGCGGGATGAGATCAATCGTCTGCGATGACTTGTATTCAACACCTTCTCATTCTTAACACAGTGTATCCCCGAAAGAGAGAGTCGAGACAGGGATCAGGGAGCTACATCAGGCGGGGCTGTTTCCGGCTCTCTCTCTCTCTCTCTCTCTGTCTCTCTCTCTTGCTCTATGTCTCTCTCTATCTCTCTGTCTGTCTGTCTGTCTGTCTGTTTCTCTCTCTCTGTCTCCCTCTCGCTATCTCTCGCTCTCTCGCTCTCGCTCGCTCGCTCGCTCGCTCGCTCGCTCGCTCTCTCTCTCTCTCTCTCTCTCTCTCTCTCTCCCTCTCTCAGAGTCTCTCTCTCGCTCCCTCTCCGCAGCCGAAGGCTTCATGCGACGACGGCGATGATTTCAGGAGCAGGAGGCTAGGCGGTGTGGGTGTATGCAGTAGTTGTGACCAGCAGAGGTCGGCCATGTTCGGGGCAGGTGGTCGGTCTGTGCCATGCTCTTCCAACTCTTTGGCACATGCTGATGCGGTCTGCTTGCCAACATGGCTGCCGCAGGTCACAGGCAGAGCGCAAAGCACGCGATGATCATGGTGATGATGATGGTGATGGTGATGGGGGTGATGAAGATGTCGATGACTGGTGATGATCATGGTCATGTGGGTGGCCCAGTCGTGGTGATCGTTAGACTGTTTCCCGGCAGGCGTAGGCCATTGGACCAAAGCTCTCGTACTTTTGGAGGCTGGCTTCCCGTTTCAAGTTGCACTGAAGATTCCTGGATACGGTCTAGTTGTCCATTGCGTGACATGGTTCACATAGTATACATATATCACATATACATACATACATACATACATACATACATATATATATATATATATATATATATACATATGTGTGTGAGTGTACATGTGTGTATTTGTATATACATCTCATACATTCGTACGAAGCACGTCATGCCACTTTACAACTGCCCGAGACATCTTTCGGAAGGCCGCTCGCCTAGCTTTGCTTCAGGAGGATACTACCAGGCAGGGCCTCAGGGCACACTCTGCCCAGAATTCGCCGTGCATGGACGCGAAGAAGCGCATATTCCAGCTGACGCTACAACCAGAGCAGTACATGAAGGCGTTCGTGCAGTCAGGATGCCAGCTTTCCAATTACGTCCCGATCCCGTCTCGAACCGACTCGGTGTGGACTGCTTGGATCCGATCCTTAGAGTGCTCAGGTGCAACGCTGCAATGGGAGGGTGCAGCCGATGCTCCCACTGGGACGAGGCGTCAGGCACTCATCGACAAGTCACAGTGCAAGCAATTCGGTAGTTCGACATTCTGACTGCTTGATGTCCACATGCCACCTTCAGCCTGCCTGGATGATGCTAGATATGCTCGCTGCAAGGTTGTGCTGTCAGAACACACCGCAACATGCGCAAATGTTTCAAAGATGTCTCCTGCATCGCTGGTTTAAGTCGTATGCTCCGCAGGGCTTTCAGCGGCCAAGTTTGCCAGGCTCCGAATATTCGAATCTATGTTGGTATGCGGAGGCGTGGTGCTAGTCCAGCCGCCACACTTTGTTTGCTGTGATGAGTGTTTTATCACTTGCAACTTTGGCATCAGTCATGAGGGGCCATGCAGCCAAACGTGAGGAGCCGAGCTGCTGAAAGCCAGCATCATGTACCTGTTGTCCCATATGTCATATGTTGGCCCCGGTCGCACTGGCAGATTGTCCGCAGGGCGTGTTTGTGTTTGGGGTTTCTGAGGCCGTGTCAAAGATATCAGCGTTGCTTGCATGCCCGGGCCAAAGTCTGGCCTCTTTCATTGAAGTCTTCCCACGGGAACCAGTGAGAGCAGCAGGCTACCGCACTCCCGCAGGACATCTCACCGCTTAACAGTTGTGCTCGCGATGGCTTTTTGTAGAATCTGGTCGGGACACCGCTAACAATGCATCGGACTGTGATTGTTTCCATGCTCAACAACATGATGATCTAGGCTGTAGCTCAGCTGGGAAAAGCATTGCGGCAGCTGAAGGATCAGGGCCCCTGCTCCAAAAATATCCTTCAAGTGCGCTCGGCCCTTGAGGTGCGAATGGGGGACTCTGGCAAGGTGCCGGGATCCGAGCAGATGCATTTTCACTCGCTTCACTGCTGAGGGCACCCTGTCTTCGAAATGTTGGCTGTCAACCCAGGCCGTGTCACATCTTCTCTCTTTGGAAAAGGCGGAGGCCGGTCATGAATGGAATCGCAACGTGAGAGCTCTTGGCGAGGAGGGCACTGGTACTAGGACCCTGGGTGCTTTGCGAGGGGCCCTCCCTTGCAAAGCCAAGGCCAAGGCAATCCGAAGGCCCCCAGCTACCTTTTCCAACATCGCCCCCGACTTCGGGAATTCAGGCGTTGTTTTGTGAAGGCCGTGGCCTACTTCGCTGCGGCAGCTGCCTGCGCGAGTGCTGGGGCCTGGCGCTGGGCAAGGAGCTCGGAAAGATTGTCTTTTTCCAGGGCCAGCTTCCTTGCTTTATCAAACTGTTCGTTCTTAAACCGCAAGCTTCGTGGCGACTGTTGGTATTTTATCTATGATGATCGGTCCGGTAGATGCTTGCTCGCCGCGAAGTCTGCGGCCTTCTCGTGCAGTGCTCTTGCTAACTCAGATGTGGCTTGAGGAGGGGCCGGGAGGCCATCATGAAGCATAATAGGGACTTCACAGGGGCCATGATGCTATGCTCCTCCTGTCTGTGGCCAGTAAGTATTCAGGGATGGAAGGTTGGAGGAATGCCAGACCCGGGCTTAGTGCAGAACAAGTTCGTGTAGTTCAGGAGGCCTCGTTCGAGCATTCTTGCCGCAATCTAAGCTTTGGCGCAGGCCCTGGTGATTGCATGGAGCTCAGTGGTCTCAGCAAGGTATCTCTGCTACAGCTCTGTCTCATTGCCGCGTTGGGTGGAAGAGGTTTTGTTTTCTGGCAGTCCTCCCGCTGCTGCTCAGTGGTAGATCCCAGAGCAGTACCAGTCAGCAGTAGCCATAGTATTAGGAGCAGCCATAGTCGTAGTAGTAGTGGTAATTAATAGTTGTCGTCGTCGTAGCAGTAGCAGTAGTAGGAGTAGTAACTGTGGTATTGAAAAGACAGTAATAGTAGTACCACTAAAGAGGACTTCAGCAATACTTTCATGAAGATGCGTACTAGCCTGTGAGATTGAAATGAAGTCCACCCAAGACACAAATCGACGCCCAAGCTTGCGTTGATTCGCCACAAGGATTCCCTGGTGCCTTGAGCATCCCAACACCCATGTAATCTACCCGAAATAAGGTTTTTCGGGAGTTACCTGGGTCGCACAACATCAGGACACTGTGTAGGGGGGACGAGGAACCGGAACGGTGCAAGGGGAGGCAAGCGCTTGCATGATACAAAAAGACTGACGATCACAATCTTTGTGTTCATAGCAACAGAAATCTCGGCAGTGATTCCAATTTTGCCATTGATACAGGAACAACTGCATGTGGCGACAGCATCGCGGCTCCGAGCCATATCTCCTAGAACCAGTACGATACGAAGTTACAAAAACAGAGTGAGCCTGAAGATTCACCAATAGTGTTCCTTAGGGTTCTCATTCTAAGTAGAGTAAATATACTTACATGCTAGGGGAGAACAGGCTTGACTAGCCCGGGCTGCTGGACAGCGAGGCCTGCTACCAAAAAGAGAGAGAAAGGTAACCCCAAACACTACTGTTATCATTAACGCCGCTGTGTTGTATGTTCAATGCCCGCTCTTTCGCACATGCACAGCCTTTTCCGGACAGGATCGGACACGTGCATTGGACACACACGCACACACCGCGGATGTGTTAGTCCATGGCTTGAACTAGCGCTGTATATCGACAATGGAGCTGATTGGCAAACCCATCACGGCCATCATTGCCGACGAAGCTGAAGGGGTCAAGGTTGATGGCACGCTATTGAATGGAACTCTTGTCTTCAGCATAGACCTGGCGCCTGATGCCACGTTGAAGGACCTGAAGGACTCATTGGTGAACAAGCTGGACCTAGAAGTGCAGATGTGTGTCCGTGACGGCTCCAACACATTGATTTCCGAGAGTCATCACCACGAAGTGCGGACATACAAACAACTCGTGCTCGAATTTGATGATGGATTCTGGGCTTGCCGCAAGTATCTGGCGGCCATGTCAGTCGAAGCCTTCCATCCGAGTTCAGCCAACTTCTCCCCGAACTGGACTTTAGCGATGGCACCAAAGGTCCACCACCAGGAGGTAGTTTCATTTCTGCGAAAGCTGGAGGTCCCCGACAACATGGCCGCCAAGTTTATGCGTTTTTTTCTGCGCCTCACTTCGCTCGCGGAGGATTGGAGTCTGTTCAACCTACAAGTACTCCAAAATTTTGAGGGTGGTCTGCTGCACCTCAAGCATGCGCTCTGCGAACACTGGATGCAGCTGGCAAGAGTCTCGGTCACCCAGAGAGTGCCTCGAATGCCTGCATCTGTCATGCTTCCGCAGTTGAGTGGCCGCGGCTTGGTCCTCGCCGTGCGGTTGTTTTCCGCCGACGTCAGCTATCCCAGGACTTTCCAGAGCCCTTTGACAGAAGGATTGGACATTTGTGACGTCCGCAGTGTTGTAAACTTAAACCTCATGCAGGTGCTGGTGTCCTTGGACACTTGCCTACAACCCGGGGAAGTTTTTGCAGAAGTGATGACAGAAGCGGCAGGCCTTGACTGCTTCGATGCTGCACCTAGCCAACCCGGGGAAGTTTTTGCAGAAGTGATGACAGAAGCGGCAGGCCTTGACTGCTTCGATGCTGCACCTAGCCGCTGGGATCCCACGGATGTTGTAAGGATGGTGCATGTGCAGCTGCGGCTGTCTTGCGGCTTGGGCGTGGTGGAAGTTGAGGGGATCTTACACAGGCCTTTGCTTGAGTGCGTGGCGACGTTGCTGGGCTGGCACCTGAAGGTGCTTCACTTCGCAGGCAACCACTTGATCTCGGAAGCTTGCACGAGCTTCCAGGCAAAGACTGGAGACCTGCAAGAGCACGTGGACAGAGGCCTCGAGGAAGTACAATGCAATGCCAGGTTCCGAGGAGTTTTAGTGCTTGTACATCTTCCAATGAACCATGTTCTGGGTGATCTTTGCTCGAAGCTGAGCCGGCGTGCGTCTGTCCGCTTCATCCTCTCTGTGCAGGAGGGCGCGCCTGAAGACTTCGGAGCCACGGCGGTACCCGAGACACGGCTAGAGGAGCACTAACCGACGAGCACATCAGGGGCTGTCCGAAAGCAAGGCCACAAACTCAAGGATTCGAGCAGCACAGGCATGCTCAAGGCCGGTGAGATAATGTGTCCACGGGAGCCTTGTGCTTACCAGGGCAAATCGTTCGACTCTCCTGGGACAGCATGGGTGTTGGGCCTGGAGTGCCACGTGGCCGAGCGCCATCGTCTTGTGAGGACTGAAGACGGGCTTTCTCACTGTCACATCACGAAATCGCTGCATCAGTTCGGTCGCTTTCAAGTGCACCTTGGGCCAAACGGATTTCACGAGCGATGACCTGTCGTATGGAGGAAGCCCTGACGGCTCTGCAATTGCCTCTAGGAAGCCTCAAGCTTGCTGTTCGTGGTCACCGTGAGTTCGTTTTGATCGCAATCACCATTCGCGGCAGCTCTGCCTAATCAGCGTGTGTGCATCGGCTCCGAGGGCAACATCCTCTGGAACGCTTGGCCAGAAGTCAGCTGCTGACTCGCAAGCCTGGGTGGGGCTCAGAGCAGTCCTCTTGCCGGTATGATGCAGTGCCAACTAAGCCTCACCGGGCACAGTGCGAGGTTGATCGCCGGACATGCATGAGGCACTGCTACGACGTCAAATGGTTCCTGACGAAGACCCCGCTACTTCTCCCCTTACTACTATGACTACTGCTGCTACCACTAGCCGCAACCACTACCAGCACCGCATCTCCAGGTCGACAGGATGCTCTCTGACGGCTCAGCTGTGACGGCGGAGACCTTCCATGCGACAGCCTTAATACTTACGGATTTCGCGACCTACCATTGTGCTGGTGTGTCCTCTGGTACCATTTTTGCAAGAGGGATTCAGGAAGGTACAGAACTCATCCAGACTGCTACCACACCTGTACAATCGTTGCTTAGAAGCGGGCCGCGGCACAAACGTATATAACATATAATATAATATATATATATATATATATATATATATATATATATATATATAGATATGTATATAGGTATCTCTCGGTCTCTCTCGTCGCTTGCTGCGTGTATGCTGATTGAGCTGTCTCTGTCTCTCTTTCTCTCGCTGTCCCTCCCTCCCTCCCTCCCTCGCCAGCTCGCTCGCTCTCTCGCTCTCGCTCTCGCTCTCGCTCTCGCTCTCGCTCTCTCTCTCGCTCTCTCGCTCTCTCTCTCTCTCTCTCTCTCTCTCTCTCTCTCTCTCTGTCTCTCTCTCTCTCCCTCTCTCTGTCTCTCATGTCTCTCTCTCTCTCTCTCTCGCTCGCTCTCGCTCCCTCGTGCATGTGAGTGTGTGTGTGGGTGTGCGCGTGGAGATGCACAAACAGGCTGCAGAGCACATGGCACGCAATAGAGTAGCCAAGTACTCGTAGCACAGTCCACAAAGATTCAACATGATATAAAGATCAAACATGACTGTCACACGGCACGTGACGTACAGCCGCACCAACACAATCAGCAACGGAATGCTGCTTTGGAGCAAACCACGCTCAGCCGCGAGATCATTTGTAAGGCTCATGTCGTCTCTTCGTTGCAGCAAACATAGCATATCCAAATCCGCGGTTGTTTGGCAACACGCATGCACTGGCAAGCGTGGTCAGCAACGACTGTTGCAGCGATATCAAGAAAGCCATCCGTTGAAATGCCCACGTGCTTCACGTTTAGCCATGTTACCGTCAAACCACACTGTGCTGCGCTTGGCAAACCTCGATGTTCCGCACAGCAGAGGGACTCTCGTGACAGGCGGCCATCAATGCATGTGAGAAGGCGCTCTGCTCCATTTCTGCTCTACTCTGAGTTAGCAGCGGGCCCTGAAACCTGGCCTGTTAGAGAAATCGTAAAGCCTGAAGGAAAGCAGCACCACGAGTGCGATAAGTGCGAGAATGGCTGTGACAACGAAAACCCAAGTGCAATGAGCAAGGACTCTTAGCTAACTTAGCAGCAGCTTCAACAGCTACTGACAGCCATCTAGGGGCTTCCCGAAAATGCAATCAGCAGCCCTTCCTGTTTTCGGAATTACTAAACTCTTTATGCCTAGCAACCCATCACCTTCCACTCTCTCGATTTTGTGGAAAGCCTCAAACCTGTAGCCGCTGTAGCCTCCCGGAGCCTGAAACCACCCAACGCCATGATATTTGGGACCTGGATCTTTTGCTCCCGCAATCATTGGCCACGCATCAGAAGAGCATAAACCATAACTGTTCCTGAAACCTTCAACCTTAAACCAAACCACAACTGTTCCTGCAACCTTCAACCTTAAACCAACAGGGCGGCGGCCTCTGGCAATGGGCCCTTCAGCTGCTCCGCAGCCTCCGCCGCATGGCAAAATCCGAAGGGTGATGTTCCAGACGAGTCTTCCTCCACTAATGTTGCTTTTACAGGCTATGATAGTAGTTCTAGAGGGTGTTTATAATGGTTCACTTGGTTTTGTGGAAGAGGAACATGAAGATAGGGGCTTAAAGATTTAGAATCGGTTTCCGAGCAGCCCTGTACCCCGATGGTGTGAGCCTCGCTCGCTTGTGCGAGCGTGCGAGCCGAAGCCATCGAATTTCAGATGTAAGTGGCTTCGAAAGAGATAGTGGGGTGTGGCTTTGGGGTTCAATGATTCGTGGAGGATTGTCGAACATGATCTCATGCCCTGCCCGAAGGTGGGGCGCGATTTCTGCCGAGCGCCATCGCGCTGAACTCGGCATTGAGTTGCTGTGAGAAGGCTTGGACCCAGAGAAGAGAGAGCCCGACATCCCATGAACCGAGAGATACCGAGAGCATCTCTGACACCAGACGAAGATGAACTACATAGTTTGTTTTGTTTTTTTGAGGGTGGTTTCCTAACTCCGAAATGCGTATCCGAAAATTATACTACGCTGTATTGTTGACTGTTCTTCTGTAGTTAAGGGGTACTGGGCTCTGTGGAGATTGATCAGGAAGTGGGTTTGGAACGGTGTGATCAAGCTTCCTTGTCAAACCATCTAGTCTGAGAGAGGGTGAGAGGTATATTGCCTGGCAGAAGTATGCGCGCAGGTGTATATATGCACACATGAACTGGTAGTCTGGGTTGGCACAAGCACTTGAAGAAGTACCAGAATAAAGCAGCACGTGTATGTATGTAGGTGGGTATGTATGTATGTATGTATGTATGTACATATGTATGTTTGCTTGTTTGCTGCCGCAGACAAACATGTCACATCTCTTTCATCACAAGTAGTGCTTCAGCAGACTTATGCCATATCGGGTGGCGGAGTCATCCTGTGCTAGTGACCACTAGTGCGCAAAGCCACTGACCGCCCTCTTCGCCTATCCTACCGCACGTGCAAAGATCCCGAATGTCGGAGGCGGGTCAATGGCAGCGAGCTTTGCACCTGTCAGGGTGCCAAGACACGTTGGGAGGGTCTTGCCACCGGAGTTTCACCTTCATGCCAGTCCGGTCAGTTTCCCATCTGGGCAGTTTCGGTCACCTGCGATTTAGCAGGTTCGCCGTAGATCGTCCTGACGGATCTTGTGTAGTCTCAAAGAAGCCCAGGCTTTCACTGCTGCAGGGAGGCGGAGATGGTGTGCAGACCGCCGCTGGGTTGGAGGTGATGGGCAGGGGGTACTGTGGTGCTTGTTCAATACATGCAGCGCTTACATAAGTGTACCTCGAGAGCACGCTGCATTGGCTATCCATGCCTTGATACTGTTGCACGTGAAGACTGAGCCTTCGAGCTTTGCAGGTGGGTGTCATCGGCTACAACGCAGCCATTTCTGCCTGCGGTGCTCGTTGGCAACTGGCAGTGGGTCGGCAGCCCGAAGTGCAACCCGTGCTGCATTCTGCTTGTTGCTTCTTAACTACTCTAGCAGGATGATGTTTCCAGCAGTTGCAGTGGTCGTCGCCTGGGCTGACATGGCAACATCTCCGCAGCTTTAGCTGTATCTGCAAGGGGACTGCACCCTCCGCCATGGATCCGCTGTCCCAGGCCTTCGTGCCAGCGCTCCGCTGTCCCAGGGCCGCGGTCAGCCATAAAACCTTCTCACCGGCTGCGAGCGTTGGTCGCCCAACCCCAACTGCCGCGGCCATCCCATCCGGGCCGTCCGGGGCCAGAGCGCCTCAGCTTGCCCTTGCCTGCTTGGCAGTCCCAGCAGCGGCCAAAGTTGCAGGTGTGAGGCGGGCGGGGAGAGGTCGCCGACGAGTGGTTTGCCGGGCAACAGCCAACGACTCCTCCGATCGGAACGTTCCGACGGAACGAGAGCGATACACGGACGCAGCTTGGCAGGCGATGCAGGATGCACCTGGCTTTGCACAGAAGTGCCAGTCGCAGTACGTCGAGCCGGAGCACGTCTTTCTCGCAGCGTTGGAACAGCCGATTTCAACAACAGGTGGGCTCGCCGCCCGCATACTGGACAAGCTTGGCATACAGAAGCCCGTTGCAGTCACCCGGATCATGGAGACTTCCCTGCACCAAATCAATGCACGTGGTCCCATGTTTTGGATCTTCTGCCCTTGCGTAGACCTAGACAGACTCGGGCGACTCTTGTTCTCTCTGCATGCAGCGGCAAGTGTCCACGAACACCTTTTGCATCCCGGGACACGTGAGCTTTGCAATCTTCTCAATTCTCACTTTTCCCGGCATGTACTGAGGAGTGGAGCGACAAGCAGCCCAAGGCGAGCAGAGCTTGAACGGTTTCAGACGTTCGCAGCCCTTGTTGTTTTGAATGTCGATGATGGTTTCCAGTAAGTGAGTAAGCTTCTTCGAAATGTTGCCGTGTTTGCATCCAAGGGCCAAGGAAGCTAGGTCCTACCCGGCTGTGTGTATCTACGTATATATAACTACGACATGAGCGCATGAAGCAATCTAGGAGTAGACCGGCACATCTTCGCCCCTTTACTGAAATCAGACGTCGGTATAGCTGCAGCCATCGAAGTGACGCTAATCGTAGTTCTTATTTATTAGTATTATTATTGTTATTAGTAGTAGTAGGACGGGCTGCCCCTCTGCACTTCTTCAGGTGACCTCGCCTGGGAGCTCCATGGGCACTGCCGCCGGCCGGAGCTTAGTGACGATGATGCTGGGCTGTTGGAGACAGATTTCGTGACTTTCGAACAGCCTAGGCCTGCTTAGTCTTTGGGATCATGAGGGTCGAGGATTTCGAGCATCGGGACGTGACGGACTGCTAGGACGAGAGCTGCTGCCAAGAAACAATGCCTAAGGCACGGTAGTTCCAGCGTCCAATGTTAGCCCAAGAATCAAAACACCAGCTTTGGGCTGCTAAAGCAGCGAAGGATGTCCGAGTCGGAGACAGCAACTTGGGTTGCAACGCAGCCTCGCCCCAAGTTGTTTCGGAAACTAAGATTTTACATAAGGCATCCATGGAGGCTGTTTAAGCTTGACTTATTGTTGGATCTGTGGTAGGGATCACTGCTTAGAATTTCGTACCCCGACAGTGGTGGCAGGGATCCCAACAAGGTTTGGACATCAGGTTTCCGGGTGCCAGTCCTTGATTCCTAAACTCCGCATGCCTCGAAAAAGGCATCTGTCTGCGTGCTTGATTGAGGCTGCCAACCAGTATGGTGACAAGTACATCTCTGTTGAGCACTTGGTCCTGGCCTTCTGCAAGGACCGACAAGCGATCAGCTTGTTTTTTGCGAGTAGAGACTGTTAGCCACCTGCCGCAAGAGTTCCGTATGTATGAAAACCATTGTACACCCCAAGCTTCCTCAACCCTGTAACTACAACCAAAAGAAATGAATACTAAGCCTTCGTATGCCAACGTTAAAGACCGCCCCATGAGGACACACGATTTGGACAGCGGTTCTTCTCGGATTTCGGGTGCGACGAAGCAAAGGTGAAAGCAGCAGTCGAAGAAGTTCGCGGCTCTGGCAGAGTCGCTGGACGACAGGTCATGAGTTAATATATATATATATATATATATATTCGTTAATTTAAGCCTCTATAGAGGCTGAAATTAAATATTTACCTATACTATTTTCGGGGTTCCTTGGTATATCTATAGTATAATGCGCCCGAAACCCTCTTCTAATTGTCAAGGTCGCTATAGTAGGGAAGTCCAACAAAGCTTGGGCCTAGTGCTTAGGGCTACCGCAGACAGCCAGCAGGATTGCAGCTCAGAAGTGTGTGAAAGTTTGCCGCGACCCTTTCAAACCCTAGACCCTGCATGGACTCTAAACCCTAAACCCTGCAATGCGGGCTTCGTCCGTGCTAAGTAGGAGGGGAAAAAACCTTAAACCTTAGCGTCGAACCTACTTCTGCAGACCTTGCCAGGCTAGTCCGAGAGTGAGTGTCAAAAAACCGTGGAAAGGTCACCTCTCAGAATCCGGAGAGCACCTACGAGGCGCTGGAACTGTACGGCACAGACCTTACAGCCATGGCCAGGGAGGGCAAGCTGGACCCCGTAATCGGCAGAGACTATGCTTCTTATTATTGGGGCTTGAAAGAGTGTTTTATCGGAGTCTTACTGGGGTTCTTGTTAAGAACTGAGTTTGATATTGCTTCAAGAAACCGTGATAGAGACACCATTCTGCGTACTTTCTGACTAGTATGGTGCCTGAAAGGCAATTCCCTAAGCTTCTAGGAACCCTGTATAGCCTGGAGGAGACCGAATATAAAGCTGTAACTTGAACGAAGGTCTTTAACAAAAGCCTATTGCAACACTTGTAAGTCGCTTAGTCGGGCTCCCTGTGATGAAGCCTTACTAAACCCGCATAACCTTACAAACCAAGGAGATGAAGAGATCCGCCGGGTGATCCAGATCCTAGCGCGCCGGTCGAAGAACAACCCGGTGATTCGGCAAACGACTTCCCTTTGGGTTCAAGGTTAAGGCTCCATGATTCCTCGTGGTGCCCAGCGTCTGCCGAGGTGATCATCGGTGAACCTGGTGTTGGCAAAACGGCCATCGTGGAAGGCCTGGCACGGCGAATCGTGGACGGCGATGTCCCGCAGACGCTCCAGGACAAGCAGGCATCAGGGTTCATGTTCTTGCAAATGACGTACTCACTTATCCTCATTGTGGCCCATCCGTCAGAAACCATAGCCATGGATGCAGCGCCCCTTTTCATTGTAAGAGTCTCGGCAGGTGATCTCGCTGGACATTGGCGGCATGGTGGCCGGTGCCAAATATCGAGGTGCCATGTTTGACGTTCCATGCCATGTGAGAACTTCAAGTTGCCAAGGGCAAGAAGTAGCAGCACAGCAAGATACGGGCCCAGATTATATGTCGCCAAAACACTATTGTAATGCTTAAGGCCTCTATGTTAGCCCCGCGAGAGGTGAGTTTGAGGAGCGCTTGAAAGCGGTGCTGAAGGAAATCAAGGATGCAGATGGAAAGGTCATCTCTTTCATCGATGCAACAAGGCTGAAATTGCCTGGTATGTTGTGGTAAGTATTTGTACACTGCAGTCATTGTAGTAAATGAACATAATACTAGTGTAAGCCGTTCCCATAATCCTCCAAGCTCTTTATGAACTTCTCGCGGCATGACACATACAGTGACTGGGCTTGTTCGATGTGCACCCCAGGAGATTCACACCATCGTCGGCGCGGGAGCATCCGGTGGCGTGCCTGGACTGCAAGCAACTTTTAGCCGGGCATGACGTGGACTTAATACCACCTGCATCCAAGACTACACGTTCAACTCTTGCAGGTTCGCTATTGTCTGGCTATTGTCCTTTTTGTGATGATTGCAGCCTGCACCCTAAACCCTGAACGGTTCCGATTGCGAAGCCAGGCGATGGATGCAAGCAATCTCCTGAAGCCCTTGCTCGCCCGCGGGGAACTGCGCTGCGTGGGTGCGACGACCCTGGACGAGTACCGCCAGTATATCGAGAAGGACCCACCCCATATCCGTACAACCTGAAACGCTGAAGCCCTACATGCCTCAACATTCAACAGGCTCAACATCCGAAAACAGCAAGCATGCCCCGCTACCAGCCATCTTGCCAGAAAAGAATGGCTTAAGCCGCTAAGACACAGACAAAGCCGGGCCTCGATCTTATCGATTCTCAGCTGTTGCCGTGTGTGTTACTGGACTTGAAAGCTCGCCTGACAGATGAACTCGCTAGGTGAACCTGCTGGGAAGGCAGTCCGAGGTTGAGTTTCAACATAATCCTCGAGTTGTAGTGAGAGGTCGTCTTCGGGCTCCAAAACCCCATAGAATCCGAACACCGTGCAACCCCTAAAATGAAAAAGAAGTACAAAACCCAAGCCCCAGGCAGACCCCCCAAACCCCAAACGCCCTAAACCTACACTTTAAACTACACTTTAGGTTCGTTTTGACCTTGTTTCGAAGCAGCCAGGATGCAGCCCTGGAGCGTCGTTTCCAGCAGGTTATGGTGCAGGAGTGACTTAGCTAAGGCAGGAACCTTCATCTTTGGACTCAGCGTGCGGCTGAGGTTCAGGGAGTAATGAAGGCTCAGGGATTCAAGGGTTTGGGTCAAAGGTTTGAGGGTGCCGATGTAAAGGTTTGTGGGTTTCCCCAGGGCAATGTGCACCGAGGGGTTCGGGAATGTTTGCTTTCCGAGTGGTGCATGACTCGCTGTTTCAGGTTTCTAGCAATGCAGCGAGGAAGTCCAGCGAACCCATCAGCCCTTATTGGAACGGAATTGCGTGCCATAGACTGACGGTGGATTATATAGTGTCATTCTTATTAGTAAATTATTCCTACGGCTTTTGCCCAGAAAATGCCAAGGCCGAAGGTTCCGGATTGCGTCAGCATCCTCCGAGGCTCCAAAAGGTTGTTTTTGTTCCGGCTGGTCTGCGATTTACGGGCTGAGATGGCGATTT